TTTTATCAGGAAAGTTGGCTGAATCAAGTGAAGGAAATGCAGCTTCATTGTGAAAAGGGTGTCTATAAGAACAGCCTGTACCATGTTCCGGAGCAGGAGGGCCCACCAGTAGGAAACGAAAGCAGGTTAAAGACATTATTATCACTTTAACTTTAAATAACTAGTTAAAAGTGGTTTTTGAGGTATTTATACTATTTACTACATGATAAAGTCATTTTCTGAATTTTCAATCTTTTTGCTCGATAGCTGATCGTCTCATTAAGACTCGCTGAAATATGAAAATTTTTGCGAAAAGTTGGATTCAATTTTGCCTCTGTTAAGCGTATGATGAGTTTGATGCAGTTTTGCCTCTGTTAAGTGTATCTCAGTCATACTTAGTTAATTCTTTCTCAGTCAGTATTTCGGCTATAATGTAATTTCAATAAATTTTTTAAAATTGAATACTTTTGTGAAAAATAATCTGTATTGCAGTTTGAAGGGTGGAGATGAATTAGAGAAGGATTTAGCAATGAGGGCTGCAGCTGCTTCAATATATTCGACTTGCAACTTCTTGTTGGCAATGGAAAACTGCTAATTGTCCTACAAAATTCGTTTTTTTTTTTAAACTGGATTTAATTTAATGTTTGACCGGCTACACAAGCTTCTTGTAGCATTAGCACTATACTAATTTGTTTTCTCCTTGAATTATGCCATATGGTTTGGCTATAGATTAACTTGAGGTTTAACTTTTAAGTTTTAACCATTTTCATTGTGAGCTTTGAAAGCAAACAAAAAGTATCTGAGAGTGAAAATCTGAATTCATTGTTCATTTATTTCTATTTTCTTACTTCCGTGTTATTGCAATTTTGTGCATTGATTTATTTTATGGCGTTTTCGTGCTCATTACATGCACGCATGGCCAGTTCCAAAGTATTTTCCTTAAATGTACAACTAATTTCAACCGAAAATCATCACATTTTGCATTATGTTAAACTAACTCTATACTTTATTTCCGAAGTAATATATTTTATGATTATTACTTTTTTACTCCTAGGGGTGATTGTTTATGAAATAATTTGTTCAAAATGAATTATTTTGGTTAACTATAGTTAATTTTGAAAAAGGTGGTATGGTTAGTTGTTAGTGAAATTTTATGAATGTATTATAATAATATTTAAAATAAAATAATTAAAATTGATTTGATGTAAAAGTAGGAGATAAATGATTGGTAGTTAAAATTATGTTAGTGGATGAATAGTGAATTGAAGTTGATGTAATGTGTAAGAATAATTGGTTTGTGTTATTTAATTATATGAATAATATTAAAGATAGTGGGGTTGAATTAAAGTTGAGTTAGATTTTGAGTATAAAAGAAATGAGAATGAAATAATTCATAAACAATCAAGCCCTTAAAAACGACGTGGTGGAACCTAGACAAACAGCAAAAGAACCTGATAAATCCAGCCAAAATAAAAATTTATATGACACGAAGTTGGAAACTATCTTTTCATAAGATTTCATTTTCATTTTGAAATATCTCGTGAACTATTTTCCCTTTGCAAAATTAAATTGTTATTTTTATATAGTGATTATTTTTGCACCAAGAATTAAAATTCCAGACACAAGTAAAAGCCCCCCGACTCCGAGTATAACAAGGTTGAGATCGAAATCGATATTCGAACAACTATGTTAAAAATGTACTTTACAAATATAAAGAGAAATGTGAAAATTACAAAAAAAGAAAGATATGAAAAAAAAAAAAAAATAAACTTGTGGCTGCTGGGATTCGAGCCCAGGTCTCCACGGCCACAACGTGGAATTCTTACCACTAAACTACAGCCACTTGTTGAGTACAAAGTTTATAAACAAGAATATAAATTATTCAACTAAAACGTTCTTTCACCCTATTGATCAGTTGAGCTAAAGTTCACCAGAATTGGAATAGTGAATAAGAAATTAAGTGGAATTAGTCAGCTGTTTGAATTTCAAGCAGTGGCTTCCGCGAAGCAAAATGTTGTTTCCACTCTAAGCTTATGTTGTTTTTCACGCATTTGTTTTTCCTTTTTTTTTCTTTAAATTACAAAAAATAAATATTTGAGAAAATGGAGGATTTGGCATTTTACTTGCGTCGAGCAGTGATTTGTAGAGTCTCTGCACAAGAATTTTGAACTCATCATGAAATGGGGACGCTCATGTTAACAACCCTGACAGGGCCCTTCACTTCACCCCACTCGACTTATCTCTATAATCTGGTACATGACAATATTCACTTCATCCTACTCGACTTATCTCTATAATCAGGTACATTATGAGATGGGGTGAAGTGAAGCGTCTCTGTTTTATATATATATATATATATATCCGGGTCTAGTTAATATTATGTTACTTTGGATTTATTAGTAGTTATATTTTGTGCTTTGTTATAAGTAGTATAACTGGGACTATTATGAGATGTAGTAGTTGCTTAGTAGATTGATGTTATCTATATATATATATAATTGCTGGCAAGCTTCAATAAATTTTACAGCCAGCAATTAATAATAATACGAGTTCATTTAATAAAAATAGGTGTTCATTTAATAAAAATATATTCACCATTTAATAATAATATTTAACTTTCAGTTACACAATTTATTTTGATAAGTCCTATTTTGGATGGTGCTCATTTCTGTAACGTCTTTTTATGTCATGAAAAATAAAATATTTTTGTTTTATTTTGATACTATATATTTTTTGGTATTATATAAATAAATATTTCACAACTAATTAAGAATGACTACAAATATCTTTATTTTCTATTGGAGTCATACAATAATAAAAAATATTTTTTTGGATATTACAAAGATACATCAAATATTTTGAAAAATCAAATCCCAGAGTTACGAGTAGAAGAAGTTTAACGATAATGATTTGTTGTTGTGATGGGGATTCTGACGATAGGAAAATCACGAACGATGTATATAAAGAAGTGTTTAATAATATTTAAGTTCACTTTTTTAAATTATTTTTTTCTCATTTATTAAGTTATGTTTTTTATTTTCTTTTATATTTTTAATTACTATCGCTTTTTCGTGCAAATGCACGAGGTAAAACTAGTTAGGCTTAATTGGGGACCCGTGAGTAATTATTAAAGGCGAAAAACACGTGAAATGAAATAAGAATTTGGATGCCAAAATTATTTATCTCTCTCTCAATTTCTCTCTCCTCTAATATTCTCTCTCTTGTATCTTTATGTATCTATCTCCCTCTCCAACTCTCATCTCCCTAATCTATCATACAAGAAATACTGAAGCTCATACAAAAAATACAGAAAATCAAGTTCATAACAATTGGTATCAAGAGCCGTGGATGCTCGGAAGAAATAGAATTATCATATTTTTTTTATACCTTTTGAATACAATAAATAGAGTTGTCATATTTTTTATATTGTTTTTTGAAATATGCCATAAAAAAATTTGCATATATGATGTAGGGAAAGCGTACAAGTGAGAATGATATGAATGAGATCTCAATCTCAAACACATAAAAACCAAACAAATCTTATTTTCATTTCAATAATCAACATAACAAAAGAGGGGGAGTCATTTATATAAAGCTTCTCAAACACAATGAAAACCAAACAAATCTTATTTCATTTCAATAATCAACATAACAAAAGAGGGGGAGTCTTTTATATAAAGCTCCTAAATTCTAACCGTAACTTGCTCACCAAAACTAAACATAAATAACAAATAAATATTATATGCTAAAAATAATAATACTAGATATTAATTAAACTAACAAATATTCTAATACCAAAATTAATAGATATTATCCTCCATCAATATATATGACTGCAATTGCTTGACTTTTCAATAGACCAATAAAAATAAACATCATTTAGTTGTGAACAATTTTTTACATGTCAAATATTATGGGTACCTATAATTTGAATTTTAACAAAATCCCCAATTTTCATCGCTGCTCATGAAAAACGTGGGAAGGACTGAAAGAACGAAGATAAAAATGAAAAGTTTTATCATTTACAGATGGACACGTGGACATCACACATTGGATAAAATAAAAAGACTCCCAACTCATTTTCTCTCCTTTTCCCTCATTCTGAAACAGAGCAAAGCTCATCGATGGCTGCTTCACTGCTTGAGCCGCCATTTTCAACAAACCCCTCACTACACAACCCAACCCATCCCTCTCTCAAACCCCAAAGCTTCAATCTTGCAAAGAATTTCGCCCCACCGCCTCGCCTCCGTACCTCCACAGCTCCAATCTGCCTCGGCGGCGCCGGAGAAGTTGTCCCGTCACCATCGGCGGCGGAGATCCCTCAAGAAAGCAGCGCCTCACTCGAGAGAATCAAAGACCGGCGCAAGGTGGTGCGAGTGGCGTGGGAAAAGCTTGTTCGCTGGTCCCGCTCATGGCGATCCAGGGCTAAGACTGATGTTCTTGAACGGACTAACAAGGTATTAATTGGCAGGAAGATATTTGCGCTCACACAATTTTTATGATGTTGAATGCCGTCACATTTATGGGCTGAAATTTGCTTGATTCTTTTTGGCCATTTGCACCATTTGTTTTGTTTGTTGTTCTGTCTAATTACTGCTTTGTATCTGGGATAAAATATGTTAATGTTCTTGTGTCTTCAATTCCTTGTTCATCTTGTGACTTCAATTGCTTGTTCGTGGTGTTTGTAATCCGAATTATCATACATGGTTATCGTAATTTAGTAAGGTTGCTGAAGCTAGTAAAGTTTGCAGATTTTTCTGCTTATCTATATCTTTTTGAGGGATTTCCTTTCTCACTGGTGCTCATTTACCATGATACTGCTCTGAAATCCTCACATGGCATGTATGGAAGTAAATTTTCTGGATCATAACAAAATAATTTATTTATGCTTTACTATTATTTATTTTTGCACCATGGTCCTTTATTTATTATCTATTGCGGGAGATGTCAAACTGGTCCCTGTAGGTTGTGGTGCTTGGAGGTGGATCGTTCGGAACTGCCATGGCTGCACATGTTGCTGATAGAAAAGCCCAGCTTGAAGTTAATATGCTTGTACGAGATGCCGAAGTTTGTCAGTCGATCAATGAAAATCATGTTAATCTGTAATAATTTCATCCGTTCTCTTCATTTTGTATAATTTAAATGCAGAAACAGGCGACAGTGTCTTTTTTTTGTGAAGTATACTTCACTAAAATTGTGTAGCTACAGCTATCTCTATTCAGAAAACTTTTCACAACTTCTTCTTGTTCATTCCAAACTAATAGCCTATCAACCTTTCTTCCAGTAAGTATTTTCCCTCACATATACTACCAGAAAATGTCATTGCTACAACAGATGCTAAAGCTGCTCTACACGGTGCAGACTTTTGCTTCCACGCTGTACCAGTGCAGGTTGTTTAAACTTATTATTATTATTATTATTATTATTATGGTCTTAGTGTGATGTTTTAAGCAGGATAAATTCATATTTTGAGAAGTACCAAACACAACATATTTTATTGAACGAACCAAATTTTTATTGTCGTTTTAGAAAAGTTGTCGAATAAATTTGTCCAAAACTTGAGATTATGTGCTTACCTAGTGTATTATATTGCAGTACAGTGCCTCGTTCCTCGAGGGCATTGCTGATTGTATTGACCCGGGCCTGCCTTTGATTTCTCTAAGCAAAGGTTTGGAGCTGAATACGCTTAGAATGATGTCCCAAATAATTCCCCGAGCACTTAGAAATCCTCGGCAGCCTTTTGTTGTCCTGTCTGGACCTTCGTTTGCACTGGAGTTGATGAATAAATTGCCGACAGGTCATGTGACATTTTTTTTTTATTTTTTTTATTTTTTCTGTATATGATGCCTTTTGCTGAGGATTTATGTTGCATTACTATGATCAGAGTGACTCAATAAAGGTTTCATTTTGTACAGCAATGGTTGTGGCATCAAAGGACAAGAAAATGGCAAATGCCGTACAGCAGCTTCTTGCTTCTAGGACAATGAGGATCAGCACATCGAGGTTGTAATCATCTAATCTTTTCTCATGTATCTACTTAAAAAAACTTTAACGGGCGTTTGGCCGAGCTTATAAGCTCTTCAAATATTTTTTTGGCTATCAGAATTTCATTTCGTCAATTTTTCTGAAACATTATATAAGATCCTTAGAGAAAAATCTGGTTTTTGGAACTTATAAAAGTAAGGAAAATTTGTGATATATATATATATATTGCTTATACATGCTCATCAGTAACACCTGATGCTACAGTGATGTCACAGGGGTTGAAATTGCAGGTGCTCTTAAGAATGTACTCGCAATAGCTGCGGGGATTGTTGAAGGCCTAAATCTTGGAAATAATTCTATGGCGGCTCTTGTTGCACAAGGCTGCTCGGAGATTAGATGGCTGGCAACAAAGGTTATCTGTGTGTAATGAAACTTTTCACATTTTGTAATATTATCATTACCATTTTATTTTTTCTCATTATACATAACATGCACTATCTTCTCAGATGGGCGCAAAATCAACCACATTGACTGGTTTATCCGGGACTGGTGACATCATGCTGACGTGTTTCGTTAACCTCTCGAGAAACAGAACAGTCGGTGTTCGTCTTGGATCCGGTGAAAAACTCGACGAAATACTCAGTTCAATGAATCAGGTGTCTAAAAGAATAATTTCAGATTTTCTTTTTTTTGGTGAAATGATCTTTTAAAAGACTTTTTCTACTAGCTTTGACTAACAGCTCGTTTTTTTAGGTGGCTGAGGGTGTATCGACTGCTGGGGCTGTAATTGCATTGGCTCAGAAATATAAGGTCAAAATGCCAGTCTTGACAGCTGTCGCTCGTATTGTTGACAATGAGCTCACTCCTACTAAAGCCGTTTTCGAACTAATGAATCTCCCACAGGTTTGGTTTGTTCGTCATTATCGTTTTATTTGCTAATATGATGCTTAATTATCGTTGTCTTTGCTAATATGCTAACATCCAATGTTTTGCTGTAGGTTGAAGAAGTTTAGCATCTCCAGAAAATTCAAACTTGTGTTCGTGGCATTTTTGTTCGTCGTTCTCATTGGCCGTGCTACTGATATACATTTTTCAGTTCCATACCACACAAATTAGGCTACAGAGTATAGCAAATTTGTATGAAAAAACAATTTATGTTTGGCTTGCAAGAATGTAAAAACATATGATTTGATATGGCATGTGTGCCTTTTGTGGTCTTATTATATGGTCACCTTCTGTTTATAGTTTTGGCTACATAATAGTAGAACATACTGTTTGTTTGAAGAGACTAGTAGTAAATTTATGCTCCTCAAAATTATTTCACTTTTATTTTGGTAATAATATGGAGAACAATATGAATTATAGTTAACATCAGTTGTGAATTGTGATTATTTAGGCTTGATTGAGTTCCATAAGGCACGTGATTCATTCATATTGATAAATTAAGAACTCTGAGTTCAACTTGGTAATAAATAAACGAAGCAAACTTTGAACTCCAATCCTAAACATTGTGTATGGATGATTTTTTTTTCCTCATCAAAACTCGCAATATACTGAACAAAAAACCCATAAGAAGTCTCAAACGGTTCAAACAGATTNAAAAAAGGTGACAGTAACATAAAGGTAAATTATGATTCAACCAAGTCTATTGTTAAATATGAAAACTCTATAATCCCAGTAAGTTTACTGTTCAAAGAAGGTTGAAAAAAGGAAGTTACAGGAGGAATTAGGATCCTGGTAAAAAAACTCAAGTATATTTACATCATGTTGGCTTCATTTTCACATCAAGTGGCATTCATTAGTAAGAAACCCAACTGATATAATATGCATTTATATATATTATTATTATTCCCTTTTGTCCTCCTCCAAATCCTCGACTAGCCCAAACACATGATCAGATGCAATGGAAACTTTCCTTTCTTTCAAGTCGCCAGCCACTATAATGCTTGCTCCTGTTAGTGATAAACCCTCTTCATCATCATCACCAGTCTCATACGCATACCTGCATTTAAACATTGACTCGTTTTTTAGAAGTTTTCCTAGTTTCACCAGATGCATCTTTTTATCAATTACAATTGCCTAGTATATACATTGAGACGCAGTTTAATAAATATATACTTTCAATTGTAGAGTGAAGAAGGTGCTGCTTTAGTTAATTTTAATTGAATTATTTACAAAATTGTTCGTTACTGCATTCACAAAAATAGTCAAATTCGACTCGTTTGCAACACCAAAAAAATAAAAATAAAATAATTATTGGGACAAGAGTATACTCGGAGACCACATCAGTAAATTAAAGCT